ACAACAGGTAAGATACTGGTTGTTCATAACCTCTCTGCAGACCAAGACGCTTTAGTTTTTCTACCCAGGGACTGAATGTTAAATAAATAACACTGAACACAGTAACAGACAAAAATGAGCTCCGTTGAGTCGTGAATATATTATTTATTTTTCCACATAAATGACAGCATATCCGATTTATCTGTTTAAAAGATACATTTGTTTTACTTCAACACATTCAGAGCTTAAAATAAATGGAGAAATTAAGAAAAAAGAAAAACAGAAATTTGCCTAGCAGAGACAGACACCCATGAAGACAACACAACAATACTAGAAAAACAAAGAGCAGATCCCAAAATAACCATTCTGAAACAAAGCTAATATGTTCACACACCAGAGGTATTTATGAGTCTTTTTATACTCATAACTGTCTGAGTTGTATAGCATTACTAGTACTGTAGTGTCATAAGTCTTTCCTTATTCCTTTTTTTAGATTTATGTATCAAAGCTAAGTGAGGTGCAGATGAGATTATTGTTTCAGCTATTAAATGTTTGTTAAAACCATATCAGCATTCAGCAGCAGACACAAACAGCAGAGATATGTAGCCACAGGCTTGTGTAATAACAGGGAGGGGGATGACCACTAGTTGCACCCTGTAACTCCTGCTCCTAGCAGGGGGGCTTCACGGTTCACACTGACCGTTAGTAATCGGCACACAGATAGTGRTCCCAGTCTAAAGCTCCTGCTCATTAAAGGAAATGTCCAGGCGCAAGCCAAATACAACGCTCATTATTTTCCTTCATGAGACCGTTTTCAGAAGAGGCAGACTCAGTACTGAAAATTTAAAGACGCCATGAAGGCWAAACCACCAGGTTTTAAATTTGCGTTTCAAATGTGTCAAACGTGGCATGATTSTAGTTTCTAGAATTTTATTTTCTTCACAAATAAATGGCAAAGTTTACAGTAGTGGGGGGWTGAAGTGACACTTAAGGCTCTTATCGGTTTCAGAGATCAGAGTTGTTCTCTTTCTGAGTTAACACACACTGCTGCACTTCTGCAAAAGGAAAATGAAACAATTTAACACTTTGTAAATGATTCATCACAAATAATAGGCTTGCTATGCTGCAGTTGGGGGCAGTATATACAGTGGTTTGCAAAAGTATTCATACCCCTTGAACTTTTCCATATTTTGTCACATTACAAC